TCTATCAGACACAGGGGAAGCTTCTAGCAGCTTCTCACAGAAGCCACCCCTGTAGCCCCCCCCGCTACCAAAACCTTGCCACCCAAACTCGACACAACAGACTGCAACTCTACAGAATAAACAAGACAGAAACTCGTACTGTGATCTATTCAGACTACAAATCTGTCTACAGATATGCCTTGTTGGGGTCAACCTGGTAAAAAAAAAATACCATAAAAAGAGTAAAATACAATTTAGAGCCTGACATGATGTAAGCTACAGTCATCCCACAGATGCCCAATGCAGATTCAAAACCGTACAATGAGACCCTGATTCAAAAATACTTCATGGAACTACCACTGCTCTCTGTCTTTCAACACATGCTGTCCCTCTTATTCCCTACCCTTCATTCCCTACCTCCATCATTGTAAACCTGGACACTGAGTCACCACTTCCTCTTCATTTTTACACTAGTGCAGCTCCATTTACCCTACCTTGGCATGCTAGTCAGAATACAACAGAGCTCTTTCACATCATTTGAGTAACCACATATTCATCATCCCCTCCAGAGAATTTTTACTGGTCTGCTAATTACAGAGTAATTTGGCAGCAATGTGTGCTCACTCCAGGGCTGGGCTTTTTTGGGGGGTGAGGGGCACTGTGTTTTCAGGGGTTGATTTTTTTTGTTTTGGGTTTTTGTTTGTTGGGTATTTTTTTAATTTATTAGCAGTCTGTTTCTACATACTTGACTGTGCTTGTACATCAAGGATGAGATCCAAAGCACTGATAATTCTACAGTTGTCTTTCCACTGCAGTGACGTCAGGACTAAAAGTATTAAGATGGTGCTGAGGGAAAAAGCTATGAATACCAGAGGCTACTCACCATAGGTCATGGAAGAAGCCAGTACAAGGACTTACGCTGGGCACGTACCTGCTCCTTTCCTACAGTCCTCTCGTGTCCCTACTTCACCAGTACTACAATACCCAGCTTCTTCCCTACTCTTTAATATTTCCCCCAGTTTGTTTGCTGCAATGGGATCTTTGGTTCAATTTCTGACAAAGGCAGAGCATGTAAGCAGCAAAGACAAAGACATGCTCACACTGACTGACTTGTTAGGGGGGCATTAAATACACTGTATGACTAGCAATGTTAGACTTGTATCTTCTTTCTCATTACAGTAACCCCTTCCCATGCCTGCCTGACAACTGGTAGGCCAAATGGTTTTGTTGCTCATTTGGCATCTCACATTTCTTATTTCTCAAATCAACCATCTTTCCCATTACCTTCCATATCTATTTTCTCAGAAAACTTAAATGCCTCCTTACATTCCTGACAAGAAACTGACACAAATTGCAGTAGTCTACCAGCTCCTTTAAACTTCTAATCAATTTATAATGCACAAATTAATAACCTTATTGTCTGAAAATACATTTTGAAGGCTTCCCTAAGGCTAACACTCAAAGAACAGATTCCTTCTCCATAAGACACAGAACCTTCAAGTACATTCTGAGGATCTTAACGTGAGATCCTGCATGCCTACGTTATTCAGTAGCCCAGTGTGCTCCCAAGCACACTCAGACTGTTCAAAGGCAGTTATGCTGTTGGAAGGCAAGTGCATATGGAGAGGACTGTGCTGACGTGCATTTCCATGCCCAACTATCGCACAGATACAGCCAATGCACCCTATTTCAGAAACAATACTGAAAAACTACAAAGAAAAGGAAACAGATCTGCAGAATTGCTATTGTCATTTTTTTTTAATAAGGCTTTCCATAGATACACCTCAAAGCTATGTACTTGCTACCATTGTGAGCCATCTCCTATACAAACCAAGCACAAAAAAATTATTTTACTGGATTCAGATTTTTTGCTTTATAATGACAGCTCTAATGCTGATAATATTATCAGCATTGTGGGCACAGGGCCAGTTAAGAATAAGGTGCCACTGTAATAAGCCCTACTCCTTCAGTGACAGGTAGTAGTGCCCCAGAATATGCATCAATATTCTGTTGTGAACACTTATGCATCTGAATGCTTCACAATACTCAGGATTGCAACAGGGAAATATTAAATATATTTGGTAAACTGAGGCAGCAGAAAGCAAATTCTCTCATAAAGGAGGGAATCAAACTCCCGTATGCTGATTCTAATCAGTGGACCATCCTTGTTTTCAGGACTGAAATGGAAAAAATGGCTGGGAGGAGAAAGCACCTACCACAAACTGATACCCAAGTTACACTCAAAATTCAGGTCTCCTGAAATCCAGTTTATTGCCATTTAAGTTACACTGGGTATTGTACTAATACTCTCCTACTGAAATTAGGCTTGAAATAAAAGTTTACCAAACAGGAATAGCTGATAATCAGGCAGAGAAGCCTCACCTGAATGAGATAGTGAGAACATAAACTGAGAAGCTCCAGCAGCTGCAAATGACTCCCAGCTGCTAGGACATCCTGTATCACCCCTGGTTCCAAGAGGATCTGTAAACAAGAAAATGAAAGATTTGTCATGTAGAACTCAGAGCACTTGTAGAAAATACTACAGGCCCTTGTTATTTCAGACACTTAACATAAAGAACAGAAAGGAGACAATTAAGCATATAGAGTAATCTTTCCAGGATGGGGACACAGTTTTTAAAGTTCACCTGCATTGCCCAAAGGATTTTTAAGCAGATATTCCTGTGAGAATCCATAAGCCACATTACCCCCTAAATCCTCTAAAACTAAATGCATGTTATTTATTTAAAAAGAAGACTTCAAAATAATAGAACCTCTTGCTGTTATCCATATACCTGGCTGCTTCTATATATACTGATGAGTCAAGGCCAACAGAATTGACTCAGAAGTCTCCAGTATTAATATTATTCATGCTTGTAAAAAAATATACAGGTTAGGAACACCCTTCCCATTCTGCATGCTACCACTTCATAATTTTCCTAATCACTGTCTTCATTTTACAGAAGAAGGCTGTGAAGGCACAGAGTGAGCATGCTGCTGGGGAAGTGCCAGAAAGGGCTTAGAAACCAATACTGATTATCCTGTCACTCGCTCACATGAAACTCCTACTTATTTCAATTAAAATGACACACAGGCAGCAGCCAGGATAATTGGGCCTCAGCTCCTAGCCTGCTGTCTTGGGGTCAGCTTGTTAAAGCATCTCTTTTAGGACACAAAAAAGTCTTTTGGAGTACAGACACTGGTCAACTTCTTATCAGCAATCACATTACAAACTATCCAAACTAATATTATTTACATATAAGTGATGCGGCATCCAACAAAAATCAGAAATGCATGAGAAAAATTGTTTTTTCAAATATACTCAGTTTATTCAGAGTTTTACCCTTGTTGTATTTCCCCTGCCAACTTTGGTTTCACGCCACATGAGGTCAGTCTCTCACTGCTCCACAGGGAAGTAAAGCTTTTTTCAGATCCTTATTCTTCTGCCCACACAATTCAGTTTTATCTCACAGCATCATTTATATGTCTCAAATGCAGTGGAATAAGGAGGATGGCAAACAAAAAGACAGACACTCACTGCACATTTTGCAGTTAAAATGTTTTTGAGGGAAATGAAAAAAAATATATATGCATTTCTTCATGCAAAACCACAAATTATCTCCATCATAATGGCTCTATTAGGAACAGGAGAGAAGGGGATTGATTCTTGTTTATATCAAGAACTCATTTGTATTGAGTTCTGTCAGTGTACAACATGCTTAAAGCTTGTGCAAATCACTATATATAGTCATACTAGGTTTTAAGTCAACATTTATACAGTGTGTAAATTACATATAGAGTTCTTTATCTAGCCAGAAAGACATATAAGGATCTTAATATAAATGAGAATCAGGCCCAGCGCAATCCAGGTTTGTGGCTGGTGCTAATGAGGTTGCTGTGCATGACAAGAGTTAGTTCAACATAAAGCTAGAAAGAATTTCAGTTACAAAATTATCTCCAAAAGGTATATTAAAAAAAAAAAAAAAAAAAAAAAGCAGCCCTTTCTAATATTATCAAGTGAGAACTCAAGGTCAGATTGACAAAACAAGCTGTTTTACACCTTGCAGTGTGTCTTATTCAGGCACCATTTACACTGAGGAAGTCGTTATCTGATGTCATATTACTTTCTAAGCGCCAGCCACCAGCTTAGCATTGTTAAAGATACAATATGAAGAGAACCAGAATGCTAAGCAGATTACTACCTTGTAGGCATAGACAAACTATATTTAACTGTGATAATATTAATGTATTTTAAAGCTACAGCAATCCATTTACAAATAATACTAGTAGTATTATGAGATGAGAAGTAGGACAAGAGGCAAGGAGGGTGACCGGTTACTACAAAGAGGTGATTTGCACAAAGTCAGCAGCAAAGGTTTATTTCAAGGTGGTAGACATATTTCTTACATGTTTTTCCATTTCTTACAGCTTTCCTATAGCATGCAAGATTTTTTCTGCTGAGATAACCTATTTACCTTTGTGTTTCCCAAGGTAACTGAGGAAAGTCTATTTTGTCTCTTCCCTAGACTTGGCCTTAAATGGAACTATCTGAATTCTTATTCAATACTCATTTGGATATAGGCAAAAATACTAATTCATCTATGCTAAATGTTCACCATCAGCAAACTGCATGCTGGGGAAACCCACAAGAAAAAGAAAACAATAAGTAAAGAAGGAAGAAAATATTGCAAGCCTTCCTTCTACTACCCTTTCCCTTTTGCTGAAACTGGGGTAATTCACAATTATTCCATGCCTCTTAGCTTCTGTACATTAATACAATTACTTGATTTTTATTAATTACGAACATAGCTGTTTATATGCTATATACGCCATCCAGCTGAACCTTAGCTGTAAATGCACATGAATACCACCATATGCACACCACAAATACAGTGACTGACTCTCCTCTCTAACTGAAAATAATAGCTCTGAGGTCTTCAGAGTGATAATTAAGGAGAGGGAAACTAAGATCTACTTTGGATTCACACCATCAAAATTCATCACAAAATATTAGTGTGAAAACTAAAGAGAAGCTTAATCATTTTCTCTACTCCATCCTCAATCCAAGGATTACGAGGCATAATTATCAGGGTAGAAACCTGGAGTGATTTGGAACCATCATCTAAAGACAAACTTTGCAATCTTCACCAGCGAAGGATGTGCCTTTGTATTACACATCTCAAAGCTGATATCTGTGCTTTTTTATATTAAGATTAATTAGAAGCAATTCAGGTATTGCACCTGGCTGCATCTTACAATCAGTCCTCTATTCAACCCTTATTTCTGAGGGTTAATTTTCATTATGCTCTCAACTTTTCTCTGGCCAGTGATGCTACCCAAGAAAATCAGCTTAACCACCTTCTCCCTGTATGCAACAGGCAGATCTTGCAGCTAGCCTGAGCAACTTACTTTTTCAAGCCACTAGGTCTGATGTACTATTTGTTTTCAAACTGATCTGCTTTGTCAAGTTCTTTTTCTCCTCCCCCACAATGACTGTGTTTTCCAACAGCAATCCTGTTCTTAATGCAGCCGTTCTACCCTCCATCATCCCACAAACTCTCCAGAGAGTATGCACTAAATCCAGTTCACCCCCCCTTGCAGTCAGATCCATAGGCCATGGGATAGAAATGATGCAAAATTTGGTGTTTCTTTGCAACAAAATGCTGAGTTCACCAGATCCAGAAAGGCAGATTACACAATTTCTTAAATCCACATTTCTTATATATACAATTTAAATCTACATGGAAATGTATCCATTGATGCTTTGTTGATATACTGAGGAAAGCTGCTCTGCAAATGCAAGATATAGGAACTTTCTTAAATTAAACCTGAGCTTCTAAAACACAATTCTGAAGCAGAAAAGGGAATTCTATAATCAGCCCTATGGTTACAGACACAGAAGGCCCTGAACACCCCCCGGCACATCTACCCTTTGGGCAGCAGTCTAAAACTGGGATTCATTCCCTCTTTCCCCAAGATTTCCCTCTTCCTTTCCCAACTGACCCTGCATCCTCTCCAACCCAGTACATCTTAGGGCTCTGAGTAAGCTTGAACAAGATTAACTGGGATCACACATCTTGCCCCTCTCTTCAAATGGTTTTCTTTGGGAGAGTTCTTGGCAATGCAGAGCAACTAGCAGCTATGAGTTCTAGGGCTAGAAGCAGTATATGAACCATCATCCTTTCTCACGGACAACTACTCATGCCTCACCTCCACACTGCCCAGACTGAGAACATCCTCCTACTCTTTTAATGCCTCCTGTCCCCTACAACCAACAAATCAGTACAGGCCAACAAAAAAACCCTGTATGGTTGTATCAAAGAGGGCAGTAATGGACAAAAGAGAGCGAGGAAGAAACTCCTTAAACTGTCCTTCCTAACAAAGGAACTTAAAGCCTAAGGGAGAAGGTAAGGTCCAGATTAACTATCACCTCTATGGAGTCTCACGAGGTTTATATCTAGAAAGAATAACTACATAATCCAATCTATTCCCTGTATATTGTAGGTCATTATATTTCATCCAGGCATTTTTAAAGACACTAAACTAAAGCTACTTTAGGCCCAAGGAGGCTAAACTGTGTGCCCAAAGATTGAGGATGCACTTCTACTACCTTCATTTCAGCTATTAATTTATACCCTTGTATTTCCTTTTCATCTCCATACAGCTGTTTGTGGACCCATAGAAGAAGTGAGGTGGTGGCACAATACACATTAAAATAAACCAGAATTATGCTACAATAGTATGGAAATATGTAATGTCATGTTGGGAAAATCTAGAAAGTAAACCATATGGAATTTAACACAGAAAACAGGAAAAAAAAATAATCCCAAGATTCTTGCCAGTCTGATGCAAAAGAAAATTTCTTCTTGACTCTACTTGTAGTGATCAGCATTTCGAAAAAGACAGGCATCTAACAAAAGTACCACTTGTTTTTCCCCTCTGGAGACCATTCTGTGTGCTTCAGAGCAATCAAAAGAAGTAACTTTTCTTTTAGAGCAATTTAGACTGCATTTCACTCACAACTAGTTAGCCCTTCTGCCTGTCTCCCTGTTCATTCGTGCTTCAGCTGAATTCTGAGCTCCTTGCATGTTGAGAAGTACTGCTTTTAAAAAGTACAAGTGGGGGAAGAATGTTCTAGTTCCCTGCAGGCAACTGCCCAAAGCCCAGGCACATAATTTTTGATAGTACTCGTTACAAAACCCAGATGTCACATTAGCCAATGCCAGAAGGAATCATGACCAGCATTTCTCTGATAAATGCCATAATATTTTTTTTGCAGAAAACTAAATGAAAATCTGTGTTAAATGCACAACATATAAATCATATCTCCAGTTGGAAGGGATCCATAAGTATAATCGAGTCCCAACTCCCAGCTCCTCACAGGACAACCTAAAACTAAACCGTATGACTAAGTGTGTTGTCCAGACACTCCTTGAACTCTGACAGGCTTTGTGCCATGACCACTTCCCTGGGGAGCCTGTTCC